CCATTTTAACCCCATATATGAGAACTTTTGTTTTCCTTTTGGGGGTATCATTAGAATACAAAAAATTGTAAAATTCTACTTTAAGAGATAAGAGATAAGAGGAAACAAACACCCATTTTCCTCTTAAAGTTTTAAGATTCCTCTTAAGAGATAAGAGTTAAGAGGAAACAAATAAGCCCTTTGACCCTCTACTTGCAATATTCATCTCATATCCCACCCAAGTTGGTTAAAGCAAAGCAAGATTTGAAGACCACCATCCCTGCCATGGGTTCTTCAAGATAACCCCAATTGGATGGTTAATTGCCATTAAATCTCATTGAGACATTTATGAAGATGTGGAAAGATTTTATTGGAGGGTCAATGTAAAAGGTGAAGGTTGAATGTTCATAGAATGCAAATTCGACTTGAATGCATCTCTCTACAAGACAAAGCTGATGTGGATTCTAGGATTGTCAATGATACCTCAAACTTCAAGGCTCGATCCAACGTCCAATCTGATTATCTCAGATCCGGATTATGAGTTTATGTAATCAGACTGACTTCATATTTTGTGAACCACATTTGATTGATAATCAAGTCGGATTCTAATTTCACTCCACTAGATGTGATTAAAATCCAAATCCAATTATATTATAATATTTATATATAAAAATTGGAAAAGTAATTAACATTTTTTTTGTATCTTAAAAAGTTAAAACAATGTCCAATTAAATTAAAATCCAATTTGAGGTCTTAAGATCCAATTGGATTCAGATACCAGTGTTCAATAATTATATTGGATTTGGATTTTGCTTAATCTAAACCATTTACGGCCCTATTAGAAGATTCTCCAAAGCTAGAGAGAGAATTGTTAACAAGACCTCCTCGAGAGTGGATCCTAATCCAACATCCTAAGCCCTTCAGATTCAAATTGCACCCAAACCCTATAACCCAACAAATCAGGGAATTTACATTCAACCCATTGCCTTTTAAGTCAAAGAGAGAAGAGATCGACATGTAGGTCAGGCATTAGTATTTTTGAACTGCCATTGACCTAGATGATCACACTATTCGGCTCGGGAACCATCCAAGCAATCGGTTTTGTTTCACCCTTAACTCGTTCCTTGGCTAAAAATTGTTGATTTGGTGAACAACCCACCAACCTGGTCAACAATTTTGGTCATTTTTTTATTTTAAATAATTTTTATTTTTTACTTTTTAAATTGAAATGAACCGTTTATTCAAACCAGATGGTCGAACTATTGATGTGAAAACCGGTGGCTAGAACAATTCCGAACCGGTCAGTTTTTAAAACCTTACCAGACATTAGTACAGATATTAGTGAAGTAATGAGATCCGCTATCAGAAAGCGCTCCTCACACCAACCTCAAAGCCACATCTCCCATGAATAATGTTATAATAATGTACAATTACGGGAAATGTTCCCGATGTGCGGCTGAAAGATTCTGTGACGTCGGTGTGAGGAGCATTCTGTGATGAACAGATTTGAACTCATTAGTAACCGCAAAAAAAAAAAAAAAGCAATCGTTAGTAGTAATTGTCCGGATGAAAATAGAGAGCTTTGATTTGGACGACTCCAACATTTTGAGCCCGTGTTCGGACGAGTAAACTTGTCAATCATATTCGACCACATCAACCATTCAAATGTTAATATTCAAACATGCGTTAACTTGGATTCGACAGTTCAACCTGATACGAACCAGAGCCAAATCCATACTATGAGATTTTGAGTGATTTTCCCTGGAGCTTTCCTCCTTCCACCGAACCCTTCAAGTGGCAGATGCAGTAAACCCTGTTTGCTTTTCCCCTGTATGCTCTGGCAGCCATTGGCAGCAGCAAGGAGACCTCCGATGGTTTTTGGTGTCTGCAATTCGGAGTTTAGATTCAAATGATACTCTCCCTGTCCCCTCACAGAGCACTCCTTTGTGAGGATCTGATCTAGACTCCTCCCTGAGACCTTGACCATGCCGGCGTCTCTTTTTCTCACCTCAAATCAAATACCAAAGTATTTGATTTGGTACGATGATACCTTGATCATCTCTATTCAATATTCATTGAAGCCCTTCGGTACGATGATACCCTATTGTTTTGACTACTTCCCGATGTCCGACGACTCAAAGGTCGAGCTGGAGTATTTCTGCTAGATAAAGGCTTGGATGCCGAACTGACTGGATTGAATTAGGAGGCTACTTGGGTGCTAAGCTAGGTAGCTCTTCGAAGAGATTTGCAAGGAAGCAGTGTTAGAGGACCCGGGGCGGCTAACCCGGCAAGGTCACTCCGATGCTTAAGTTAGTACTCTTGTAGTAGATCGTGAGCTAAAAAATCAGGAAGTATGAGAGCTAGAATGTACTTAATCGCGTCTCTCCCCTGTATCATTGGGGTTGGTGCCTTTATATAGGCATTATTTGGTGTGGGCTTCACACACCGCATCCGAGATTTCCAGGAGGTTGCCTAACCGGTCCAAGATCCTTGGAGGTAACCGCTGCGCACATTGACCATCCTTCGGATTGCTCAGAATGTGGGCCAACTTCTAAGAAACATGGGGGTGTCAGGATATGCATGCCGAATTTGTCAGTGAGCACGTATCGCAAGTCGCCACTGGGACCTCAGTCAGGCCAACACGCCCTCGAGAGAGGTCGCTCCTCACATCGACCTGAGTTGTGGTTGAGGTCGCTAGGTTAGCGATGAAGGCAGGTCACCAAGTCGAGGTGAAGAGAAACCGCGATTTTGGACTCCAAGTCATTGCTTAGGTGGTGTCCATGTGTCATCCAGTTGTTCCAAGATGTCATGTGTCACAATGTTATTGGAGGGCCAAATCCGCCTTCATCAATTGCCCCCCACTCCCAAGCTAAGAGTAGCTTGACAAAGGGAGTAGATTGCTCCTTTTGGCCCGAGATGACTGATTTGATCAGTTCATAATCGCAAGCATTGGTCTGATTTGCTTCTCAGGTTAGAAGAGTCTAAGTGATTGCAACCTTACATAGGACCTCGTCGTCTTGACTTTCGGGGCACAAGAGCGAAATCATCTGCTCGATGAGAGGTGAAGCAGGTACCCCGAGGACATCTACCTTATTAGGAGCCGTCAAGGGGTTCTGCAATCCAACCATTACCTCAAGAGCGAAGCTTATCATGTCATCCTCAAGAAGGGGTTCTGCGTAACTGCTTTATCAGGTAGCTCCACCTAGGTAAACCTTGACGCATCGTCCTTCGAGTTGGTTCTCAAAAGAGTAGCCAGCGAGTTTGATGCGGAGCCTGAGACCAAAGTGGAGGTTGGCTGTGAAGAGATCAGCCAAGTTTGCATGTCTACCATGGTGCTGAAAGCGAACTAGTCTTTCCCTTGTTTCCTTTTCTCTTTCCCCCCCCTTTGCTTCATGTACTTCAAACTTTCCTTTATATACAATGCAAGTTTCAAAATTCCTTGTTATGAAAA